TATTTTCTTCGTAGTTAATGTCTAATAACTAAATTAACTTTAATCAATATTAGCCTGTATCAGCGTTAAAGAAATGTTAATATTTCAAAAACTGATTTAGATCTGATGTCATTTTTATCTTTTATTCACCTTTTCAAATATCATTGGAAGTTTAAAACGTTGCAGTGGATGATGTCACGTGTTTTTATTATATTTACTTTTACTACTATTTGTTTTTATACATTAATAATTTTGAATTATTAAGAGTTTTATTTATTTTTAAAGAAATACTTAATTTTTTTTTGCATTAATTATTGATTTTTATATTAACCTGTTTGGCCAACTGACAGGCCTTGTCTGGTGAGTTCAAAATCTCATAATAGAAGACAGAGAAATTAAGTGCAAGACCCAATCTGATTGGATGTGTTGGTTGCATTTTACCCTTGCTAATTTCAAATGCATCCTGGTAAGCTGTTTGAGAGTCGTCTACAACAGCTACAATTTTGTATATTTAAATTAATTATTTGAACAAGGATTGTATAAAAAAATTTATTTAAATTATTATATATATTCTTGAAGTTACATAACGGAACGGAATTATTTTTATAAAAATTTTAAAAAAAAATACTTACTATTGCGTGCGTCTCCTGTGGCCACCTCAGCTAAATACCTGTAATAATCTCCTTTCATTTTCAGGTAGAAAACCTTGCTCTCTGGATTGCTGGCTTTTGGAATAAGGTATTTGTCGAGAAGACCCTAAAATAAAAATAAACAAAAAATAAATCAATAATGAATTGTATATTTAAATATTTAAACAATATATTGTAAATGGAAAAAAAATGTACATATATATAAATAAATATAGTTATTGGTATATAATAATTTATTATTTGTGCCTATTGTTTAAAATTTAATAACAAAAACATGTATATATCACAAATTTGGTAGAATGGTTTTAAACTACTAGTTTCTATTAAATATAATAGTCACTTCCGCAATAACTGACGTTAAATTAAAACCTATATTAAAAATATAAAATATATATAAAATATATATAAAATATATATAAAATATATATAAAATATATATAAAATATATATAAAATATTTATAAAATATATATAAAATATTTATAAAATATATATAAGATATATATAAAGTACTAAAAATATAAAATATATATAAAATATTAATTTTCTTTGAATTTCTTAAACTTATTTGCAGTTGTTGTTGTAGTTTGCAAGAATCTATAAAGCAGGGATAGCTCAAGATAATGTTAAAGGGGAGCTGATTATTTAGGAGTAACAACAAATTGTGGGGAATGGACGGAATTTAAATTTAAGTCAACCTAGCCACTACTAGAAACCTAGCCACTATTATGAGGCGAGTCCAAAGATCTATTGGACTAATTTTGTGTGTGCGTTGGAGCAACAAAAAAGATAAGCGACATCATGAAGGTAAAGCTGCAGTTAGCGCACTCGTTACAAATAACTATTTACCACTTGGCTGATCTCAATTCAATAGGATAGTTCTTGCTAACCAAGGAAAGTTTCTATTGCGTATTGAAAATTTCGTTGCAGTTCCACCTTGGTCCTGAAGATTATTACACATGTATGTTTATAACTGTTTTCTATTTTATTTATACAATGAAAATGGCAAGTTTTTAAATGTATACTCCCACAAACGGTTCTATTCCGTAGTCTTTATTTATCACACAGAGTATGTTCTTTTAAACGAATTGTTGAACTCGAATTCGAGTTGAATTTATGAGTTACTTAGACATTCATTAAAAAGTTATTAATACAAAGAAATGTATAAATTATAAACAATTTGTTGTAAATAATAATTCAAGTTAGTTTTGTGGTTTTTATGTTGAATTAGATAGAACTAAACTTTGAAGTACTAAACCTCTTCGTCTCAGCTCCTTTCCGTAACTACTGGAATGAAGTTTTCACATTACCTTTCGAGGTAATGGTGGAAATCTTCTTCATTCAATGCTAAGAAGTGGCTTTAGTAGATCAAATACCTATATCAATTGTGTTACAGGCTCCTCGGGGAGATATGCAGATCTGAGGTCAATTATTGCTTAGTCTTATAAACAATAATCTAGTCAAGGTGTAAAGAAGGGAATATACCTCGAGTTAAAAAAGAGTATAAATGCTTAAGTGCACTAGCTCAAAACAGCATCAACATAATTAACATAAAATGAAATATTTTTTATTATTCATATTTTTTGTCCTATTAAATGAAAATTTCATTTTTCTAATTTTTTAATTTTTAGCATAAATATTTCAAAAATCTTAAAATTTTACTTTCTGATATTGTGTTGATTTATTAAGAGTATTTTTTGTCAAAGTCAAATTAAAATTTGTCATAAACACATCAAAGCGCCCCAAAGCAAATAATAACTGACATACACACATATGGTAATATGTAAATTTGAATTTCCATTAAACTGTAACACACAAACGCACTGAATACAAAAAGTTATACTTATTTATAAACACTCAACATGTGAAGCGTTTAAGCAGAATATATGTATCCTGACGAGGACATTTTAATAACATGATTGACAACGCATGTAAGATAAGGCAGTTATTCTGTACTATGATTTATCGCTATTGAAGCATTTATAATTTAATAGCTATATGTTACAGAACATACGTACATACATATTGTGACATTTTCTTTTTTTACTCTACAAACGTTTATATGAATATTAATATTATATTTATATATATACAAACGAGATAATCTATACGGTTTACAAGCACTCCCACGTTTAAACTTTATTCATATGCTCATAGCATGTAGGCCACCAGCAAACATTTATTTTAAGTACAAAAATAAAAAGAAAGTGTGTTCTGCTGTGGTTACACGAAAGGGGCAACATTTTACCAGATGTGACCAATAAGTAACAGTTATGAAAAAAAAAAAAAGTTTTACACTTTATTGACGATCAAAGGCAAATTAATTCTTCATTAACATTAAAAATATAGGTCGACATAATATAGGCGGATACATCCTCTGATTATGTTTATGAATTTAAATATTTGTATATGTTATTTTTTAATTTTTAGTTATTTAACAAAAATATTTACACATACATATATATACTTAAAATTGTAAAAATTATATTAAAGAAAAAATTAATATACATAAAATACATACTTTGCACCACCTTAACAACCCCCACGGGATAAAATAAAAAAAAAAAAACATTTAAAAGGAAAGCGAACAAAATTTAATATTCGGAAATGCTACTACTACCCCCCAGTATTTAAATACCACTTTATGCCAAAAGCTTTACTAAAAATGGTACACCAAAATTGATTTAAAAATATATATTGATTAAATGGTACTGTAAGTATATAGAACATTAATATTTAAAATGTGTCATACATATTGACGTCCAAAAGTTATCAAATGAAGTGATTTTGCGCTGTTGTGACATTACTCAGCTTTTTATATTTAATTCATTGTAATAAACAATAAGAAGTACACATTGTAGTACACCACCAAATGGCATTTATAATATAAATCCTTTTATAAATATGAAACGTACCGTCGTGCTGTCTGTAAAATTATGTACCTGTAGAGAATAATTTGAAATTTTGACAGCTTAATTTGGGCCCTTCAGATTTAAATAACAGAATATTGAATTATTTTATATTCTCCTATATAGACAAAATTTATTTATTCAAACAAATTTAACAAGTTACAACATGACAACTGATTTATAACAATTAACTATAATCAATTTATTAATTCTTTTTTTTTTGATGAATATTTATAAAAAAAATGTTATATGTTAATAGGTAGCTCAGCAGCTAAGTAATCTGTGAAATAATAATGATTTAAAATAAGGAACTTTTAACACACTTCAAAATTTTCCTCTGTAAAGTAGTAGATGCAAGAAAGTGCTATATAAACGCAAGAAAGTGCTTTATTTACTTTTTTTTTAATCATAATTTTATAATTATTATTATAATTATTTTCTTTTTAATACTTACCAACACTTCATAACAAATTTCCCTAAGCTCCTTCTCCACGCGTTCTCTGTACTCGCGGGCGAGCTGTTGTTTTCTGGCGGAGGCTTCGGTTTTTTGTTCAATGGATGAAATTACTCTCCATGATGATCTATAATTTATGTTATATATATAAATATATAATTCAATTATATATATTAAATATAAATATATACCTGCGGGCACCGACAACATTTTTGTAAGCAACTGAAAGCAGATTTCTTTCTTCATTTGATAGTTCTACACCAGTTTCTGTGACTGATTTCATAGCCTGAGCCATGTCATCATACCTATAAAATAATAAAAAAAAAAATAAAAATTAAATTCAACATTTAAAATATTTTAAAAAGTATATATAAATATATTTACCTTTCTGATTGTTCGGCAAGTTTTGCCTTCTGAACTAATTCCTCTTTATCGACTGTTGACATTTTGATGTGTAATTTGTTTTCAGAATATTAAAGAAAAAATGGAGTTGGGTTCCTTTTCAACCGCCGTAAGAGATTATAATGTAAGGAATCTAAAACTGATTACGTCGCTCACAGTATGACTATCTAAAATTAAACAAGAAAAAATTGAGAACATTAATAATTATAAAAATATGTTAATTAAAAATATTTTCTTATTATTATTAATAAAGGTATATTTATTTAACATAAATTCACTTCAACTAATAATTATATATCTAAAAGAAAAAATGGTTTATATTTCCCCAGAGTATAAGAATTAATTATCCTCCACAAAAGTTAGCAAACACAATTTATGGTTGAACAACAACACTAAATGAGTACAAAGTGTAATAAGAATAATTAGAAAATATAAATGGAATAAAAGTTAAAGCTCCTTGATGATATTAAGAAATCCTGCTGAGCAGCATAAATCCTTCAACAACAAAAAAAAAAGGTGCGCTAATTAAAATGTTGCTGCAAAATATTTAACCTAATTAGGGCAGTAATTCAGCGAAGCAAATTAATTCATTTGAATTGTACAAATAAGTTTAATACATAATTAACCTGTAATATCAATTTAAAATTAAATATATTGCATTAAAAAGCTGACAAATTTAATTATCGATTAAATAATATTAAGCAAAATGAAATAATCAAATTTTTTTTTCAATTGCTATTTCATAAAAATTTGATAAGAAATTTTTAAAATGATTTTGAATTTTTAATTTGTATTTGTCATGTTAACTATCGTTGGTATATGGTATAGATGATATTAAAAATATATAAGCAAACTAACAAATTTGTTATCTTTAACAAAAACAATACGTTAAAGCAATTGATAAGCTAATTTTATGAAGAAGAAAAAATAACATACAAGTATTAAATATAAAATACATTTGCTAATCCCACAAAATATGTCAAATTATTTAATTACTACCAAAAAAAATTTTCATTAATTGAATTTTTAGTTGACCCACTGTCAGCTGTTTCGAGAATTGTCCAGTAACTAGCTTTAGTTGTCTTTGGAATTAATTTTTTGGGTTTGGGTTTTTTTTTTCGAACTTTGCCCCGCCAAATTTTAAGCGCAGTGTCAGCACTTTTTTTATATTTGATATGTTTTTCACATAATTATATTTACATGGAAAATTTAACTTTATGATTTCGCCACACAATTAAAGTGGTACACGGTACATCTCAAACGAATAAAATTAACTCCAACAGGAATTGAGAGTAAGTAAAATAGGGCAGCTTAATCATTATGCAGACAGCCCGAGGATTATTGACTATATCATTATAACCACGACTTTCAATAACAGTAACGAAACCATACTATTAGGGTTTAATATTATGTTGATTATAATATTTAACTATTAAATAGTAGAGAATCGGTCATAACTATGAAGTAAATACAGTGATGGTTTATACTTGGTAAATTATTCAATTAACTTCAGATTATCAAACTAATATAGTGTTACTTAGTCAACAATAAGAGAACTCGAACAGTAAGGTGGTAAGGTGTGATAAAATATTGTATAACTATATGTGTTCTTTCACGAAAAGATAGCGCAGCTGTCATCAAATCAATAGCATATTTATTGTCTGCCTCTCTCCCGACTTCTTATGAAAATTGACATAATATAATTCTTGAGTTTATAAAATTCTTGGGGTTTATTATTGAAAGTTCATCTTATTTTACTCAAACGATTCTAATGGTTTTACAAATTTTAAGCGTTCTTAATAACTTTATGCAAAATTAGTATTATTTTTAAGTAACAGAAAATACTAACACATGAAGTCGTGCAATGAAAAAAATTATTAAAATATTTTAAACAGTAAAATCCAACTGTTGATTTACAGCATAATAACATTTTAAAATGCAGTTTAAAGCATAAAAATGATAAATACGGAAAAATGTTGTCGCCATTAAATATCTGCTTTGTGTATTCGGAAGCAAAACTTTTCAAACTCTCTCCGTATAAAAATTATGGTTATTTGATATTTTATTTACTGTTCATCAAATCGCATAATTCAAATATTTGTGGTTTTGAAATGGAACGTCGTTTAATTGATCTTTTAAAAACAAACAACATCTCAATTCCTATCTTACTTTATATGAATTAATATGAAAAACAATAAATAGAAAAATGAATAATAAAAAACAAAAGCAGGTTGACAAATTTATATATAGTTATTTGTGTGATGTATGAATGTTTTCATATATACTCCTTTTGATATAGTACATGAACAGATCAACTGAAATTTGTTGAATTACTATATTAGTCAAACGATTTCTCTTTATGTAAATTTTGCATACATATTTTCTATAGAAAATAATTTCAGAGAGTTAAATTTACTGCATGAGCATTGTGACGCACTATTAATGTGTGACTATTTTTACTATTTTTGAATTGTTTGCTATGTGATGATGTCATACTTTTGGATATTTAATCTATGAAACATTTCATACAAATACTGGTCGTGTAATACATCTATATATAAATACTTGATAACACCTTTTCTCGAAATAAGGTTAATAAATATTAACATTAAAATTTTTTAAAATACGAGTCATAAAATCTCTTAGATCTCTTAGTAGTCCATTAAATAGTAATATTAGAGTAATCAACTTGTTGTCATTTTAATAGCACTATTGCAAACATACTTTAATAGCTGATTTTATATAACAAAACAACTAAGTAATGATAATAAAGATTTTAAGCCCTTAGAGAAATCTGATAACAAAATTATAATATAGAATTTTATTATATTACCACATTAGTAAAAGTCAAAGGCAACAAAATTAATTAGTAATTAATTAATTTTAATACATTATTGTTGTTGTGACAATGAACTCATAGCAAGAAAATTATGCACTTGTCGTTACCTGCAGATACATATTTATATTTAATATATATTGGCCATAGAAAGCGAGAGGTTTTAGAAGGACGACCCCTCTGTGTCAATAGTCTATGAGAATGATAGAATAAGATAAACTACTGGAAGCTAAATTTTTACAATGAGGTGTATGTGTTTATAAAACTATTTGGTAAATTAATATTCAAGAAAAAGCAAATGTTTTACACATTTTAATTAAAAAACAGATTTCGAGAGATCAAAATAGATATTATGAAATTTTTAATTACTAAAACCAGCATTGAAGTCGTAAGTAAATTATTTATAATCTATTTTTCTTGTTTGCGATACAGGCAAATTTTTATGAATATTCTACAAGTCCTTTTGGGAGGTATCGAACGGCAATTTGTCCTCGCTGCCAACGAGTGGCTCCGAAATGTTGGGACCAATATTCTATATCGTGTTTTGGTATTTATTTTCTCAAAAATTGACTACATTGTATTTTTGAACATAAATTTATAGTCAAAAAAAATATATTCCTTCGTTTTTTATATAAACTGATTAACTAAAAATTGCTTTAGGTTTTACAATGAAGAGGAATTGTTTTAAGCAAAGACACAACATATAAAGTGTTATGAACTATTGCTATTATTCATTACATTAATAATAATTAATAATAGTAATTAATTAATTATTATTATTAATGAGATTTGAGGTTTTTATAAGATCTTTTAAAACAGAACCAAGAATCATGAAACTTGAAAAACTTAAACTTATGTCTAGTTTGACTTTATGTAATTTGCAAACGTTGCCTTAATTTGATGAGGCGTTTCCAGTTTCGAAAAAAATCACCACATACCTCTTGAAATGGATTGTTTTAAAAATTCTATAATGTGGTAATAAATTACTAGATATATATATATATATTGTTACTTACTACCGAATTTTCTATAGTGATTTCCCTGTACTTTCTACATACAAAATCAATTATTATTATTAAGTCATCAATTGTATATATATACTATTATGTACTTCTGATTGACCCTTCTATCAGCGACTGTGAATAACAAATTGAATTTAAGAGAATTATTTTTTAATTTTATCAATTAGACCTTGCTAGAATTATATCCTAACACGGATCTGATTTTAATTATTAGCTCTTAATCCTTAAACAACTCTTACATTGATCTCCTTTTCTTGTTAGACTATATAATATATTTTTTATTTACAATCCGAATGATTTGCTTAATTTAGCAGGCTAAAATACATTCAATGTTTACTGAAAAATCATAATGGTGTGTCTTTTTTATGCGTTACGTATATTCTACAAAATATATAAAGGAATTTTTTGCAGTTTTTAGAAAGGGCAAAATCATATATTCCTGTTATATCCTGTTAAAGCTCCAGAAAGGACGGACAGACGAGCAAAAGTCCAATAAAAACTCCATTAAATCACTTCAACCATAAAATTCTTTAATTAAAAAGTAAAATCACTACTTTTTTCTTATGAAGTAATTAAATATGTATGCTGTACATACAAAAATACCTTCAATTCAAACAAACTTTGATCAACAATACAAAGTATAAATCCTGTTATATTTTATGACTTATTTAAATACAATGAACGAAGTTCAGAGTAATAAAAAGAAATCCACATTATATCAAAAGATACTACACATCTTAAAGTAGCTACACACATCAGTCACTGTATTGCCATTAAATAATGGCTGTCAGAAAAAACCGCTTGAAGCAAAAGAAGAAGAAGAAGTAAATGTTATAAATATGTATCGTACGGTAGTACACTGTTAGTTAGAGAAGTCATTAAACAGCACAAGATACTCTATAAAAAATGAAGACTGTAGATACAATAGTACATTTTATTTACAGAAATAGCAAATAAAAAGTGCTAAGTTCAAAAGGTTATATACAAAAATACAAAACTGACTAAATAGCGTATATGAATTCAAACGATGTCTAATGGATGGTAAATGTAGAATATAAAAATAACTTTACTTTGACCAATATATAAAGTCAGACAGGCATATAGCAACCAATGCCCTGCAGTAATTTTAAAAACAACTGCAAAATACTTTTAAAATACTTTTAAAAAACAAAGAGTACTTTTTATGCATTTTATAGTAACCAAAATACTGAAGCAATATTTACTGCAAAAACGAAAACTACTACGAAGTAGAAATATATTTCTCAACTCAAAAGTGATGAACTAGTATCACATTTTAAATGAAGAAAGCCTTTTGAGGGCAAGAAA